ACTGTACAGATCCCAGGAGGTGGGGGAGGCCCCGGTGTCTGCATTGGCTTCGTAGCTGAGCCCTTTGGAGAAGGGCTGGGGTAGCTAGGGTGAACTGCTGGTAGCAGAGGTGCAATGAAAATTCCAGAGCTCTTCCTGGCCTCTGACTGGTGCTTGCCCTGCTTTCTTCTATCTCCTTGCACCTCATGCTCCTGGGTTAGGGACATACGCTGCTGCCAGTGTTCAGATTTGGCAGGGGGTGGGGAAGAAGTGGCATTGACAGCTGCCTCCTACCTGTGATGTGCCCCAGTGTGAGCAAGCTGCTGTCTGACACTTGGACAGTCTCAAGTGATAAAGAATAATGTGTGCAGCACAGAAATAACGGCCGGTGATTTTAGACACAGACTAACATCGTATGTTGGTGTCAAATTAAATAATAGGCAGCGTGGACTTTCCTTTGGGCTTTGACTGATCCCAGCACTTGTCAGAGCTGCTTTCCTAGAACCAATTTATGAAGTGCTCCTTTCGTGGTGTTACTCTAGGGAGGAAGGGGAGGGTCACAAAGCCCCCAGAAGCTCTCAGATCACAGGTCCATTTTCATTCCTAATGCTGGGTAACGTGTGCCCCTGTACAACGCGCTTGGCAGCAGTGGGGGGCAGCCCTGCTCACTGCTGGAGTTGGTGGGGGGGAGTGCGTTGCTATGACAATCGTTTTTTTTTCTTTTTTCCCTCCTTTTGATAGAATTGGATTTTTTTGCTTAGGAAAACTGAAACAATTAGGATAGAGAAAGAATATAAACTTTCCTCTGTTTTCCCCAAGGGAAAGCCCAGGTGGGATGCAGAGCAGGTACCACGGATGCTCTGTGTGCAAGAGGCGCTCAGCTGGCACCTCCTTGAGTTTGTATCCCCAACCCCAATTATGTATAAATCTTTCCTTAGTACAACTCTATGCTTTTTAAAACGAAGCTGGAGATACAAACTAACCCAAATAATTCACCTTGCTTTCTCACACAACATTTTCAAGTCTGACTAGAAGGGGTCTGACCTGAACTCACACAGAGGGTTGAGGTTGACAACTTGCAAATCTGGTTTGCTTTTCAGCTGATGGGATTATCTACATTTTTTTTTCTTTTTAAGTGGGAATATAAAAAAGCTGAGTCAGCCACATCACAGCTATTAAGATGCTAAAACTTCTTCCTCCTTAAGGATTGCTTACCCCTACTCTCTGCAGTCAGATGAATATGAGTTGTTTGTTCTGGCAGAGGGACAGACAGTCTGTTTTCCCCTACATATATACAACTAATTTCAAGTCACTAGTGTTCTAGCTGGTGATAAAAGAGCTATCTTAAGCTTTTCACAGAACACAGTGACACTGTTAAATCAGCACAGCATTTTGATTAGCAGAAAGATGAGAGCTATACAGCTTAATGAGAAAAAGGGCAAAATTCCTTCTGTATTTAAAACTCCAGTTTCAAAGAAAATAGGTGGCCATATTTTCCTCTAAGTTATAAAATTTCACCTTGCCACTGATTCAAGGCTATTCAGTGTCAGCAACAGCCTGCACTATCTGAGTAAAGAAGAAAAATTGCTTTCATGCCTTATTGCTCATCTGGTCAGACCTTGTCCTGTGGATGTGTGAGGCAGCTGTGGGCCTGGGGACTTGCAGGATGCGCAGGCTCTGATACTTCTTCCTTCAGGAGCTCTGAGGCTCACCCTTGGGTGCATGTTCCTTTTCTAGGACTCTTGTCCTTGAAAGCAGGAGGCAGTGGCTTGGCTGCTCGGTCCCTTAGAGACCGTATGGACCTCCGAGGTTCTTCTGCTGCTTCTGCATCCACTTGCATGCACGTGTCCCTTATCTCATCCTTCCCTTAAGGTAGCAGTCCTTATAGGTTGAGATCTCCTTGGCCTTCTCCAAGAGCCTTCCTCAGTTCTGGGACAGAAGTGAGTCCAGGACACTTTCCTGAACTTTCCATTCTGGTTATTAAGTGTTCTTTTGATCAGCTGTGACCATGTTTCCTTTGCAGGGTATTTCCAGTAGCTGCTATTGGAGGTTGATCCTAAGCCTAAATGCCTTCTAATACCTAAAACTTCCTGGTAACTTCAAGTCTAAATTTATACATAATGCATTTATGCCCATTTGTTCAAAAGCCAAGATGGTCTTTCAACTGAAATAAGTTTTCTACCTTCCGAGGTTTAAATCTTTACTGTGTTTGTCAAGAGCAGTCTTCTAACATCACAGATACCAATAGAGGAGAAATATATTTACTGGCTGACATCTTAGTGAAAGTGGTTGCAGCACTTGGGAATTCATCATTTGCAGAGGCTCTGACCCCTCAGTGGTGTTTCAAGGATTGCTTTACAATGCCAAATGGCATTAGGCTGCACTCTACACGGTGGCATCTTATCACAGTGCTATCCTGAAGGAACCGCTACGCAGCTGACAAAACTCAGAAGGGATTTAGTTATGGGCACATCGGACTCTTACATTAATTCAGACATCCTTGCATTTAGACTGTCTCATACGCTTATTCTCCTGATACTGGGCTGTATTAGTGAAAACTACACACAGAGGAGCTTGAGAGATGTTTAAATTACCGTTGAACCCACTCTAACCCAAGACTTTCTCAGAACCAAAGTGTTTGGTCTGGTACCTCCTCAGAAACAAAATCTCAGGGGATCTCAGTCTGATAGGTAGGCTAAGTTAAATGTGATGATCCATGCTGCTACTGCCAAGCAGTACTGCTTACACCCATACAGTGTTTTGGGTGTAGTTAATGGACTATGCAATAACTTAAAAAGCAAATGAGGGGAGCGGGAAGGCAAAGGATACTTAAAAGCAGAAAAAGAAATTCAGTGACCTTGTTCTCATGGAAGAAGGAAGCAGAAATAAGTGACAGCTTATGCTAAGAAAAACCAAGTTTGTATTTCCAGAAACTTCACCCAAATGTCCGTATGCCATGGTCTGTCTGTAACGAGCAGAGTACATTCTGCATCATTACTGGGGTTTGACTAGGACCGGTGACACCAGTGAGATGACAGAAGCAGTGCTAAGCTTAGTTTAACACAATCTGCAGAAGCAGCTCTGCACAGTTGCTATAACACTATGTTAAACTAGGCTAAACTCTGCATACTGCTACAGTCACTGCTATGGATTCAGTCTGTCAGAATGTTCCTCTCCTTCACAAAATACATAATCTCATTTAAAATAATCTAGTTTCCTGAAAACGACTCCATCTGGGGAAAAAAGGCTGACACAGTTCCCTCTTGCCTGCTGATGTAGTAAAGTTACTGATTGCTTATCTGCAGTAACACCAACCACATATTTTCCTAATTTTTGAAATCATATTTATGAACACCTCCTTGGTTCGTAGTGTCTTCTAACATATAGACATTTGTATGTATTTCTTCTTAGGAAAGATCAGTTTCTGAAAGGGTATTTTTTAAAAAAATTATTATTATTAGTTTTTAAAATCTTCAGTGTTACTACTTCAAGGGGAAAATCCTCTTTTCCACCACACCCCAAACATTTCCCTTGGTATCACTTCAGCTGTTGGGATACTAGTGAATTTTTGGGTTTGAAAGTATCCTGAACAGGATTCACCACCTGTCACAAAGCAACATACTCTTCTAACACAGCTCTAAATTGCCTGGCTCATCAGTGGACCTCAAATGTTGAGGATTCAGTGGATAATTATTTCTCTCTGAATCAACAGCCCAACAACATTTTAGGAAGAAGAGACTGTTATTAATGAGATATAAAAGGAGATCTGGGAACTACCACAACACTTCATTATTTTTCAACAAAATGCTTTACTTTTTTGGTTTGAAACAGCTTTGTTTGAAAAGTAAGCTGTGGTTTGTTTTTTTTTTTATTTTTTTAAAAAGTGGTGGGTGGGTTTGCTCTCAAGTGGAATATTCCTGGTTTATCTGAAATAATATTTCTAAAATATCTGGAAAAACTGTTTCCAGTTTGGGGAACTGACTTCTTCTCCCTGTCTTGACATATGAAAGCCAGTGGAGATTACTTTGACATAATCTCGGTGTATGTCCTGCAGAAGGAAAAGTGCTTGTCCGGGAGGCTTTGGCTGAAGTCCAGCACAAAAACTGAAGTTCATCTTCCCAAATGCTCTCTGTAACTCTGCTTGGATAAAGTTGTCTTCTGCGCCCTGTACAAACTGTTTTGCTGCTATTTTAATAGCTTCAGAGCTCTACCATCTTAAATGATGAGCAAAGTGACCCTTTCAGTCTCATGCCTAATTCACACTGACTGCTCTGCCATTAGTTGGCTAATGATTTGTGAAATATTTTGTGATATACCTTGTGGTCTTCAGCTGAACAGTCCTCCAGAAGTGTCTAATGTTAGTAGTAGTGATGATACATAGCAAGTCACCATTGCATTCCCCCATGCATTTCTTTAATTTAACCATGTTAAGTGGTTAAAAACTTCTGCTGTATGTTGAAACTTTTATTTTTTGGCAGCGCTATTGCAAGCACACAAGCAGAGCTTCCTCTTCCAGACTTTCTTCCTGCCAGCAGTTTCCGTTCACACCGGCAATCTCATCAGCTGCATGCAGGCTAAATTTTGCAGCATACCACAGTGCACCCTCAGATCTTGATTTTTTTTTTTAATTTTTTTTTTTTTTGGTCCCCGTCCACTCAGAGTGCCCCTAAGCTTCTGCCTAGGGTTATGGGGAAACCAGGGAGTGGAAGATGCTTGTGTGCATGTAGCTTTTGTGCCAGTGCAGCTCTGGGACCTGACCAGGGCTCACTCCTATGCCTGAGAATGAGAAAGTCTTCCTACATACATTAGTGTAACTGCAACTGGGGACATAATTGGGATTATTCATGTTACGCCAACTGGGAGGATTGGAGCTCTGCTGCATGTGAGATCATATACACAAAGCCAACGCAAAGCTCCTACTGACTTTGGAAAAGCCTGAATATAAGATGATATCCTTACTACTGAGAGCTGGCATGAAAGAGATGGAGAAACCATTAGCAATCCACGAGCAGAGGGAGTACCTTGCAGCTTCAGTGTGTCTCTTTAAACGCCTAAACACAGCAGCTTGGCGCAGGTGGTTCCGGAAATAGGCTGGGTTGAGAATAATGCTCCTTTAAAAGATAAGAGAAATGGGCAAGTTTAGATTTCTGATTTTTAAATCATTAGAAGCTACTAATAATCAAACTGTGACTAAGACACATACTGTATATACTTATTCGATACAACGCAACTCTGTGTGTCTCAGATGTAATATGAACTATCACTTTCTTGACAGCTGTGATATATGAACAAGCATTATTAAAATTTTTATTTAGGTTATATCTAAATACAGTTTCATCAGGGTTTTGTATATTGTTCTAGAAAAATTTCCTGTGTTAATATGCTATAATGCCTTTAGCTTGTCGATAACAAGCAAAAATGCTATAGTACATCTTCATGTTAACCCCAGCCTCCACAGACATGAGTGGCAGTTGTCTGACCTGTCTACCTGGAACAACAGTGCATCTAAAATGTATTGCAATGGTAGTTTGAACGATTTAAAAACACTTTCTGTACAAGTGATAGGTGGGTGGATCTTTGCATGTTTCTCAGACCCTTAACTTTAACAGATGCAATTCCAGGTGTAATAAATTACAGGCTCTAAGTCGATATCAGAAAAAGATGGAAGGGTAAAAATAGAAAAAGCTGAGCAGTTAGACTGACAGGCAGGGTATTCATCTGATGTAAGCGTGGGGTGGGCAAGAGTGACAGCTCCTTCTATGTCTAATTAGTTCCACTTGTGAGAACTCCAACAAGTGACTGGCTTCTCTGGTCGCCACTTCTCCCAGGGTTTGGAGAAAAGGTAGATAAAACATGTTATAGGATGCAAAGTTATATAAAACATGCATGTCATGACATATGCTAAGTACTTAATAGTAGTTTACCACATCAGCAAAGAGATTAATGCTACATCCTACTACAAAGTAAACTTGCAAACTGGCTTTTGTTTCCTCATTGAGAGTTTTGGATATCATAATAGCATTAAATACTACTGCTCTTGTGATTTCGGTTTACTAATAACCACAGAACTAATCCTTTTCATAACCAAATCATTTATTAAAGTTTATTAATTGTCTTGAAAATTATATAAGTATCTATGTAAACACATTCAGCCATAAATTTGCATCTATGGAAACACCCAGTGCAGACCAATAACTGTATTTTCTATATATTTTCAGTGCTCATGGGCTGCATGTCTGGGGCCTTCAGAAGGAGCTTTCAGAATAAGTTAAAGCCTAAAAGTGTCTCCAAGATGCTGTAGACTAGTGAGTCAAATTTACTCTGCAGGCACTTTCTCCAAGGCATACAGAAGAAGGCCTAAAGCTCTGGATGGTTACATCTACATTTTAAAGTAATTAGATACATTGGGAGTGGATCACTAGATCAGAGAAGCTACTGTTGAGGCCCCTACATCTACACTGTTGGCAGTTGGGGCTTTTATTTCAGACTAGATTTAGTCTGTTCCCTTAAGCAAAATGTCCCCGTGTGTGTTGCTCAAAGCTGTCTGGAAGGTCAGCAGTTGGTTTGGATTCCTGTGCCTTATTAGGTGCTACTTGTATTTCGTGCACAGCTCACGCAGACAGTTTTCTCTTAAATTAATCTAGTTTGTGACCTCCAAAACTGGTCTGTGAATAATTTAGTGTGCAGAAAATGGAGAAAACTGGGTAAAGTACATCACAACCCTGCTGCTGTGCCAAACCGAAATGCTAAGGTAGATGTAACCAGTGACATTTCTGTTCTGGCACACTAAAGCTTTACTCTGTATGGGCAGAGCCGCTCTGCGCTCTGGAGATGCAACTTGGCTGAAGACCATCCTGAGGTGGTATAGGAACTAGGAAGCATCTTGGAACTATACTTTCCTAGTCCAACATTTGAAAAAATGTTCAGAAAACTGTATTGAGAGAAAGCATTAACCTGCAGGAATGATCTCTCTGGGAAGCTGTGAGGCAAAAACCAGTGACAAATGATAGCGTTTAACTTAAAGCATTACTGGGGCCAACACAGACCTTAGTGACTGGGGGCACATCTAAAGGCTGAACTAAAATACAATGTATGTAACATCACGGGATGTTAAAAATTATTTGCTCTTAACAAGGAGAAAGAATTGCTCATCAGTAATGAAAAGATAATGCCAACAGCAAAGACTCCAGTTATCAGCCTAAGATGGTTCAGATCTGAAGTTTAGACAATACTGATGGTCACCAAAACTTTATTTAACCAAAAGGTCAAATACTATCAGCAGTTAATGATTTGACCAAAACAGTAATACATTACGTAGATGACAACTGGTACTTCTGCAAGCCATTTTAAAAGAGATTATTGCTGCTGTAAACTGTACTCAACAGTTGATAACAGTAATATTGATATTTTTTAAATTCTTTTTTCCATCTCCAAGTTATCAGTTCTACCACAGCCAAGCAATAGCACTATGAGGGGAAAAATTAAAAAATCAATAATTCCCTGGTAGTTAGCAACACATTTTTCTGTAAGTCTTTGAGCAGGATGTGCTGTGATAGGCTTATAATAAATATAGAACTGTAGCAGATTTTCAAAGAATTGGATATCAGCTTTCCATTTTCCATCTTGATTTTTTTCACTAGTCTCAAAAAGATCAACTGCTTCTCTCGATCTATAAATTCTATGCTGAAAAAACTTGGGCAAACATCAGAAAGCTACCTTTGACTCCTGGCAGCTTGGTTTGATGTTGCTAAGCTCTCTGTAGCCTATACACTAGAAATAATTTATGTTGTACTACTACTCTACGCAAAAGTAGCCCTATGCTGTACTGATGCAGCTCCAGGTTAGTAGATTTTATGCAGAACAGTGCTAATTTAATGCCAAGTGTGCACTAAAACTGTGCAGAGCTATCGCTTTGGCTTTTAAATCTGACTTCGTGTTTCGGGTGATTTTGGTGGAAAAGGGAAAAAAATGAATGAAAATAGGAAGCAAAGGAATCATAGAAACAAAGGTTAAGAGGAAAACCCTAATTTCAGGAAGTTCTCCTTCAAATAAGAGCAGATGGGGACCCATCTGGCCAGGCAGAAATGTGCCAGGCTGTGCACACTGAGAACAAGTCCATGCTCCAAGATCCACCTCCAGCCATGAGCAGTCTTGATGCTAGGCTGGTTAATCCAGTAATTAATTAGGAGGGATGTGTTTCAAGAGGGAGGCTTGAAAGAAGAATTAGGAAGGGATGATGGTGGTGAACGCACCGGCTGCAACACAGTCAGGACAATCTCTGTGTGTGGTGATCTGTGCCATGAGCAGAAGCATCGGTCCTTTGGTCTTTTTACTCATGTGCCTCTTGTGGGAGCTGCAGGTAGGAAAAGTAGTTTTGGCAGGAAACATATGAAAATGGATGGCTCTTATTTTGCATAGAGAAAACTTCTAATCCGCAAAACTGCAAATAAAGTCACTACATTGGAAGATTAAAACCTGTGTTCTTGCCAGGTTTTGCACCCATCTGTCAAATGACTAGGCTAAAGTAAACTTGAAATAGATTTTCATTTATTTTTCGTCTTCACTGTAATCCAAAGACTACCCTGTTAAAAGCCTTTCGTAAATCACTTGGTCAGTTTCTCTCAACAAAACAGTCCTTAAGTAATGCTGTATATCAGCCTCTTTTTTGACATTTTCATTTTTTCATTTTGACATCTTCTCTTAAAAATAATACAGTGTTTGTCCTATTATCTTTTTTAAAATGGTGAGGAGGTGGGAAGAAGGCATCAGCTCTCTCCTCCTCATAGCAATTGGAGGATGTGAATCAAAGACGCACATGTTAGTCTGCAGTTTTCTCTCCATGTTTTTAAGTCTTAATGCTTGGTGTTCAGGAAACACATGTGGCAAGAAACTCAGTTTGCTACATCAAAACCGGCTGCTAGAAATCATGTTGCTTTTTCTCTAAGGTGCACATCCTCTGTTGAATTCCTTCCCAAATGCAGTGGGGATTTAACTCTAATCTGACAGACATGAAAAAGCGGCTCTGCTGCTATCCACCACATCATTCGTGTTTGGCCTTTACAGGCTGAGAAAAAGTCAATGAGATGATTCTATGGATGAAACAAGTGAAAAAATACACTTCACCACTAAACAGACAGTCATTTTCCTTGCTAGTACTGTAAGTAAAAGCTAGTTTATTTGTAGATGTGCATGCAGTTATTTCTTTGAGTGGAAGAAACATTTTCTTCATTGTCCATACCTTGTTAGGATCCAACAAGGTCTTCTGTGCAAATGTGATTTAATAGTCAATTCTAATTGACTATTAGAGAGGAATTAGGTGATTTAACAGAAATAGAAATTCTGTGCTGAAGCAATATGTGCCCCTCTGCAGAGAGATGTGAAGCTAGCACAGGTTGGTATGGCAGTGTGCCGTGCTGGCACGTTAGCATGCTGCTGGTAGGGACTGATTGTACAAATGTAGTTGCTGAGGCATTCTTCACCACAATATTAAATACAATGTCAGTGCAAGTAACGTGTCTGCTGGTATTCAGTAGAAGCATGTATTCAGTTGCTGTAGGCTAATACAATGCTTTTATCTTCAGTGAGTACTGTCAATCAGTACAGCTGGTTAAGCAGCCCCAATATACTTACAGACGAACCTGACAGATCCTGTACAATTAGACTGAACCTCAACTTTCTTCTTTTTCCTTGTTTCATCTATATGGCAGGTAGCTTATTATCTGCAGTGTAGTACAAGTCTTACATCTGTTTGAGACTGCTGTGCTCCATGCCGTGATCCCAAGGGCTGGTTTCAGAGTTCAACTCTACTAGAGGCAGTCAAATTCCTGAATCCTATGGTAGCCAGGAATCAAATTCTTCATATTTTCCTCCAATTTACAAGTGCAGCTGTGTATGGTATTATTTAAGTTTTATTTGGACACCTTAAGGTGGTATGTTTGCTTGCAGCCAACTTAGTATTCTAAACCACTTCTCCTACCGGTGCTGTTGTAGAGAACTGAGGGATGTGTCTTGGGCACACAAAAGTTTACAGGCTTCCCTGCTCTGTGTGAGAGTTTACCAAAGCTGACACCCTGAAAAGTAAAAAAGCCCTCCCTGTTGCAAAAAGCAGGTG